TGTTTGCGCAGTAGTAATATTCACCGGAGAATTTTTACCATGGTCTTCTTTATAAAAGCACCATTTTGTTCATCTTTCCTATATCACTTATACTACTTTCAAGATCAACTTAAAATTATTTGAAAATATGTCAATTAGCGCTCTTATTGAAAAAACAGAAGATTCATCCATGTCAACTTTAGTCGTTGATAAAGATGACTGGAAGTGGCCGTGCTTTGATGAGTGGTATGATGATGATAATGATAAAATGGAACGTAGGATAAAACTTGAAAGTATCAATATTGTTCCTTTCGTTGTCATATATCCACGCAATGGTAAACCGTACGTTGAAGTGAGTTCTCTGAAATTGATGAAAATCTTACATGATATCCTTCCGAATAAAAAGCCATTTGACGAAGTTGACGATGATAAACCCAAAGTATCGATAAAAGCTCAAGAATTATTTCATGTGATGGAAACATTGAAAGATATTACCAGTAAGCAGTTTGATCTTTTCGAGTTAATTTATAATTGCATTGAATAAAATAAATGATATTTTAATCGCTTATTAGAAAATATGACTGATCTGGAGAGCGTTGTCCACCTAAAACGTCTGGTTCGGTTCCTTGAACAAGAATTTAAACAAACTATAAAAGCTCGTGAAATAATGATTGCGCATAAAAAAGTTTCGTATGATATGTTATGGGTGTTCTATACGCAAAAATTGGAAGTGTGGTAGTAAGTAATAAGTAAAAAAAAAAGTTTAAATAATCTCTTGATAATTTACTAATTTCTAATTATGTATTTGGTTTATAGTAGGTGCGAATTGTCTGGTCAGCAGATCGGAGGTATCATTTCCTCAGTAGAAGAGAAAGTATTATGTAATGGCAAAAAAATATTTATGATACATATTAATGTGATCAAATATGATGGCGTTGGATTTAAACGTTGCCAAATCCAGCGCATTATTGAATATTTCAATGGTGATGTGAGCTTCTCTGATTTGCCTGTTGTTCCAATTAAGCTTTCGACTGCCGAAGTGTTCCTCAAGGATAATATAATTACAAATGGTAAACAATTCTTTAAGCTTGCCCAAGGAAACAACTATATGAATTATGAAGGCCCGTTATTGCGCGTGCGAAATAAACGTATAGAGAAAATTAGAGCTGACGGTCGTATCATGATTGATATTCAAAGTTTTTCAACTATGAATCCCGATTATCCAATGGGCGATGACAAACCGCCAAATAAATGTGATATTAAAATGTTTAATGAAAAGGATTCTTATCTCAAACCTGATGAACTTGATAAAGACGATAGTTATTTCCTCGCCCCTGCTGTTGTATATGGATTTAGTTTTACTGTGAAAGAATGGGGCTTGTTCGAAGTCTCCAAATTTTCGGATATTGCTTTTGACTCTGATGCTCTAGATCATATTGTAATGCCTCAAAATAAAAAAAATATGCTTGAAGGGTTAGTAAGTCAATATCGTGATCCAGCCCACACGATTAATGGACTTGTAAATGGTGTAAATGGTGTAAATGGTATAAATATGCCGGAGAAATCTTTAGATCCCATTACCAATAAGGGTAATGGATGCATTTTCTTATGTTATGGTCCACCTGGTACCGGAAAAACTTTGACAGCTCAAAGTGTAGCAGAGTATCTAAATATACCATTATGGATACTCACAGTACGCGAACTTGGATCAACTCCTGAATCGTATGCATTATTTACTTTAATAATTATAAAAAGTTTTGTTATACCTTATACTTAGTAATTTTACTAATATTGTCATCTATTACCTAATAGACTAGAAAGAGAGTTAGCCAAGGTTCTAGATATTGCTTATACATGGAAGGCTGTCATTTTACTCGATGAAGCCGATATTTATCTCGAAAAACGTAACACAATTGATCTGGTTCGTAATACAATGGTTGGAATATTTTTGCGTTTGCTAGAGTACTATCAAGGTATTCAAATTTATGCTTATCAATTTAGTCTTTACTATTTATATAATTGAGAAATTTACTAATTTTATCTCTGTTAAATTCTTATTTTTGTCTTTTAGGTGTCATTTTCTTAACAACAAATCGGGTTATTACCTTTGACGATGCAGTATGTTCGCGAGTTAACATGTTTATCCATTATCCCAAACTCGATCCAAATGGTAGACGTCAAATTTGGTCCAAGTTTATCAAGCGTGCTGATCTGCCTCTCAAAGCTGATGATTTTACTAATTACGACTTGAATGGTCGTGAGATCCGTAATGTTCTACACGCTGCACGATTGTTGGCCAAGAATAAAGGTAAATCATTGTCTGCAGAAAACGTAATTGATGTTATTAGTATTGTTCAAGAATTTAAACAAGAAACTAGTAAAATGAGTAAAGATGATTATTGAGATAATTACAATCTTAGTTATGCTTGTAGTAAATTCAAATTTGGACATTAATTATTTAGTTCCATTATATTAAATTATTCGTGTCCTATAAATTTTTATTAAATCATTTCATTCACGTGAAAACTTAACGACAGGATTGATATGTAGATCTAAACGTGGACTTTTCTTGATCGTGATAGCAATTTAGTCTATCACTTTTACATTATTATTGAACATTTTTTAATGTAAAGAATAATTCACACTATTTTTTATTATAATAATAAAATTAATTATGTGCATTAATTGTGTGCCAATCAGTTGTGCCATGTAACTTTGATATATCTTGCAGAAATAAGTTTAATATAATTATTAATGATTCTTTTAAACTAGGGTCTTGCTATATTGATTAAATATATAATTAGATTAATAATATTAAAAAAACTACAATATTAATAATATTTTAAAAGCTAATACTTTTGTACTACAAGTTTAAGACATAGTTTAGTGCTTCTACTGACCGGACCCAAACCAGACTTTAGTCAAGTCTGAGTCTGGTCTGATTTTCAGACCGGACTCGGACTTTTATATTACCCTTAATGAAAAAATTTCATTTGAAAATTATTTAATAGACTCATAATTTATTCTATAGCCCCATTTATACATAATCGTCCCTATAACGAACTCTAGATATAATGTGAAGTATTAAAAAAGTTAATTAAAAAATTTGAACAGATAAACTAGATATTTTTTTGGTTTATTTTTGTAAACGTAATGATGTAAAGATATTAAAGCAATTTTATTGAGCTTAAAAGTTTTATTTTTGAATATAAAAACTTTAATGAACTTTAGTTAATTTTATATTTTTGTATGTATAAAAAAGCAAAATAAAATTTTTAGAGAACTTGAATTATAATAAGTTTGATATTTACATTAAAATTCGACCTAATTTATTCTTTAATTGGTGAAAAATTAAAGAATGACTCGGTCGATTAATAATCAACAAAATCCATAGTTGACAAAAAAATGGGTGCAAATAAGAAATAATAAGCAATACAAATTTTACTTTAGTCACCTTTAATTATTTAAAATTGCATAAGTTTACGTTATAAAAACTTTGATATCGTCACTTTATTAAAATATTTCGGTAGTATTAAATTGAAAAAAAATAGTGTTAATGTCGAAACACTTGATATATGAGTGCCGCCAAGGGAAAACCTACAAATCGTACTTTTTTGAATATTAACTTTTAATAAAAATATCTTAAAATCAGGCAATTTAATATCTACTGCTAATATTATTTGAAACGTCTCATTAAGATGATTCAAATGATATGGTGCTGGAAGTCTATACTCAACAGTTATATGAAGTGTTTCAATTTTTTAAATAGCTATAACTTTTTATCTAAAAGGTTTAGAAAAAATCTGACCGGTAACTTTAT